AACCACCCCTTTTCTTCTTTCATGGTAAGCTTTCCCCTGCTAGGCAGGCTTCAGGTGCTAACAACTGTCTCTCTTCTGATCCATTAGAAACCAATCCAAAGCCACTGACATGAGCCATCCAGCTGTGGTTATAAATAGAGTACATGGTGTCAGTATCCTGAGGTATGCAAGACTCTGAAACTGGAGATATTTTTCCCTCTGTGTAGATCTCCGAACTGTCCCTCTGCCTTCCCTAGTTGACATAAGCCACAGTAGTGCCAGGAAACCATTTTCCACCACGGATTCATACCCTGTCCCTGACAAAGTTATTAATACAGATGCAGCCTTTAGGTCATCACTTTTCTATGATCATCACTTCTACCATGGGATTGTTTTCCTGAATACTTATAATTGTACATGAAGTATTTTCTATCAGTATGCAACCTGAAAATGTTTTCTTGAGCATGGCTTCACTGGCTGTTCCTTCAGCATCTGGGTCTCAAGCTGGAAAGCCCTATAGGAAGTCTGCTGAACTTGTTGAAGAAATGAAGTTTGAAGCTGTGATCAGATATTGTTAGACATGCCCCATCTGTAACAATGTCTCATCTCTTCTTTAGTTCCCTTAATTTCTTCTCAGTAGTGCTGTTCCAAAATGGCTTTGTCCTGAGTGAGCTTACCTTGTCTACCTGCATGACAGAGATTATGTAGCCCAAGAGATACCTATCTGCAAAAATTTTGGGTTTTTTTCAAACATCTTCATATCTGAAGGCCCATAGTTAGTTTGGATGGGAAAAACTACAAGAACTGTATCTTGTCATGTTGGTTGAAGGTTTCAGGTCTTACACACTTCTAACACCTCCAGGCCAGCCTTCATCAGACTAATTCATCCTGCTGTTGAAATGGCAAGCATTTCAAGCAGTTGATTTTTGGATGAATAATAGGTATCTTCAGCATTTCCTTTACCATACTGTGAAGCCCGTCCGTCTTTCTTTCCAGTTTAAGTGTAGGTCTGCCCCATCCTCCTAGTGCGAAAGGACAAACTGGAGGATATCTTTATTTTGAAAGGTTGGCCTCCTTATCTCATGGGGCCAAGGCAGTTTTGGAGGGAGACCAAAGAACTCCGTAAAAGTTTCTGCCAGTTCAGTTCAGCCAGTTCTTAACACTGCTGGTAACATGTAGCTGCTGTTTCTTGCAACTGGTGTAGCACACACACCTCTTTCCTCTGACTTTCTCTTGTCTGCAGTCCTACCCCTGCGGCCATGAGTGCCTAGCCATGCCTCCAAAACTGCATTATCTAAACTGGAAATGTTTAAATGTATCCTCCCTCCATCCCCCCCTGCAATGACCCCTAAGTTCCACGTAGAAGCCTTGGGTTTGCCTTAAGAAAGCCTTCCTAACACCTCCAGCTGGCTCTTCCTTGTATCATTTTTGCCTAGACCAAAAATCAATGAAAAAGCCTTCCATCCATCTTCTCCAGGGCTGCTCTCATATCACACAAGACCAACTTTAAAGAAGTAGAACTGTAACTGGAAACAGAAATGGGAGGGCCTAGGGAGAGTTCCACACGCGCTGCCAGGTCTTACGCGTAGTTGTCAGTTTTGCTGCATCTTCCTGGATGGCACTTAGCAGAGACCCCCAGCCAGCAACCACAGCAACAATTAACCCATCATCTCCTGACCAAACTTCTGTGGCTCTCAAAGTAAATTAGATCATCTGTACTCTTGCAGTCCACTGTGCTATGGATAAAGAGGAGGGTAGTTAGATATGTGAAGGATCTGCAGCTGTCCAGACAGAAGCCAGAAGATGTAGTTAACTTTGCCCTTTTCCAACTCTCATAAATGAGAATATGCTAGTATACGTGCATAGCACGTTCGGGGTTTTTCCCTTTTCCTTCCTGCCAGCATTTTCAGATGTCAGTGGACAATCAGTCTAGCTACAAGTGGCTACCTTTCAGTCTGAGCTGATTTCCAGAAAATCAGCAGCTGAGGCACTCCAAAGGAAACAAGGAACTGTCGGATTACCAGATTTCTTTGTGACTTTGTCACGCCCATCTCAAGAATACAGTGTCTGGTAAGCCATAAACTGTGGTTATTGTAGTAAAGCTCCAAGTTGCTTCATTGTTGAATTGGTAGTTAGTGGAGTTTTGTAAAGATGAAATTTCACTAGTCTCCATTTTGATGGAGCTGGAACCATTTTGCCTCCTTCAAACTGAAGTGTCATAGTAATTCAGGCTGAAGGTGATGCCTGAATAAATCAGTGACTATAAGCTGAGGGACAGCTTTTTTCCAAGTTAGAAATGAAAACCACACACATTTTTCATCCATGTTACCTTGTCTGATCCACTTACTTCTTTGTACACGAATAACAGTTTTCTAATGGTCTGCCTGTCTGAGATGAAAACACAGTGAGATACATCACCAGTGCTGTCAGCAGAATCTGTAGCACTGCTTTACATCATGGCGGCCTCTGCAAGTAAAGGTTTGTGGCAAAGTGAAAACATCTTCACCCTTGAAATTGCAATGCTCTGATGTCAGCACTGGTTGGCTGTGTCACATGCACAGACCTGCTGTTTTAAAACCTTCAGAGATCAGGGACAAGTCTTTACAGGTGCCCTACATGCATTCTATCATCTTTTAATACCACTGAGTTTGTGCTGTGATTTTTCCTGAAGTCTCTGAGGGACTAGAAGTTGGTTCCTCAAATTCTTTGTCTCTGGAATGTGATTTTGTCAGGAAATGCAATACTCAGAAGGCAGGGTACATGGATTGCTAAGATCTGGACAAAGTTGCAAAGACCTGAGGGACCCAGCCTCTCAAAAATCACAGAAATGGCATTTATCTTGCAAAGAGCATGACGCAGGGCTGTTCGCCACCAATTGTCACCAAGCACAGCATTACTTTTCCTGGTAATGGTGGGTCAGCTCTAGCCAAGCCACATGAGTGTATCAGGTAAGGTGGTGCCAAACTCTGCTACAGCACCCTACCAGTCAAGCCTGAAGGTTATTGCACCTACATTCTCATGCACAGATGACTTCTTAGATTTTTTAGACTCACAACAGAGCTTCACTTTTCCATTCCTCTAAATTAATTGGTTTGCTGGGTGACATTGTTTTGCTGCCTAAATTTTGTAGCTGGTTTTGCAGTAGCAGCAATAATGGTTTGCTTCCATCGCTTTGTGGCATATGCTTCTAAAAAGCCTTCATGCTACCAGTGGGATGGATTCTGGTTACAGCTTGTACTTGGATCATGTTTTCATTTGAATATTCAATAAAGGCAAGAGTTTGAGATACTACTACAGTAGCCTTAATTTGAGGCAGACTTCACAAGCCTGTCAATCCTTCAGCAGATAATTAAGTTATTTACATGCTTACATTTATGAGATATCCTAAACAGACTTATAAACAGAACAATAAAGTGCATGAAAAAAATCTCAAAATGTCACTGCAGACCTAAAAGTAGCAATATCATTGAAAATCAAAGATAAGGTTCACAGAATTTCAACCCTCAAGTGAAGTAACTGCTCATTCAGGGAACCAGTTCTTTGTGTTAAGTCCTACCGATGAGTGTTAATATTTTTAGATTTCTGGTTATCACTTTAAACAATTAGAGAGAGATTGTTAAGAGCACATATTAGAACTAGGCCTCCAAAGATTAATGGATTTCATTAATTCATTCATCCACCCTACATGTGTACTGCTGAGTTTCCATACAAGAAAAATATTCAGATCAGGTCATTCCTTTCCAGTTTCAAAACCACACATTTGAAATGCAGACAATTTCACTAATGATGTGGAAAGACAGAAGCACTGTCTGGGACATCTTCATCCCATTAGAGAGTGCAGAAAGACAACAGAAAGCATTCTGTATTTATTCAGAGCTACACTGTCAATCATCATGAAATCTGCCCTTTTTTGAAGGGCCCAGAACCTACAAAGGTTCATAATTTGGGCAGTGACTAGTAAATAGAACTATATTCCTGTAATCTGGCATGACAGATTACAATTTAAATGCACATACAGGCACAGTAAATCTAAATAAGGCTAATGAGGATAGGAAGGAATAACTAAATTCTTAAGTGTCATAATAATGGCTTAAGTCTTGACAGGCTACTGCTTAGTTCCTTTTATCTTCAAGGATGCCTCAGGTAATAGGGATGTCTCACTGCAAGAGCTTCCAGGCAAGTAATGTATTCTTGAGTGTGTCATGCCTGCCACAACAGTGTTTAGGTTAGCAAACAGAACTGCCTTAAAGGTAGAGAGAAAACAGAGAGTTTAAAATTCCAGGTGCTTCAAAAAAATGAAAGAAAACTAACCAAACTCCTTACTACTATTGAAAAATACTACAATAAAGCATGCCTGAAAATAAACATAACCAATAGTGATCCATAATAATCTTACAGAAGAGCATATTTGGGATATTCACACTATTGATTTCAGGCTTAGAGTCTTCCAGTAAGTGCTTGCATCCTTCCAACCACTTGTGTATGCTATTAGGGTGGCTGAAAAAGGGTTCTGTCCTGAGGTACCCACCCCAATCCACATGAAACACTGTCCTGAACAAAACCACAGTTTGACTAAACAGCAGCAGCAGGAGATTTAAAAAAAAATCCTAAAATCCAAGATAGCAGATGGTAAATCTCAAATTGCAGGCTTTAAGTAACAAGTATGTGCCTTGAAAGGAAAAGAAGCTTGCACCTAAAATTATACTGTGCTGTCTGCTTTCAGAGCAAAAGGACATTTTTGGACTTTGTTATTAAGAGATACTTTCTTTCTTTCTTTGCACTTCATTTAATGTCAGTTTTTTTCTTAAGATGCTGTTAAAGGGCACTTTATATTTGGCAATCTGGATAGCAGAGATGAGGACATGGCATTATTCCTTCATTTTGGCTGAATGTTTTAACTTTTAAACTTTTTTAAGCTTTTAACAGTGTTTACAAAGTAAGGGGGGAGGGGAGAGAATACATATACTTTAATCAGGTTTGGTTTAGACCACATAGAATAACACATTAGAAAAAAAAGGCAATTACTTAAAAATAGTTGTATTTATATTTCACAATCTGCTCAAATACTGTTTGTTTGTTGGGTTTTTTTTGGGTTTTTTTTATAAACTTTCTACAGGATGTTTTAAAACAAGTTCTTCACATTGCTTCAACTATGTACTTATGGAATTTGAAGGAAATAGTTCTGGTTGTTTTTACAGTTTAACACATATACAGTACCAAAAGGATGGTGGTTAGTCACATGCAGTCCATATGAGATTCTAACATAACATTTAGTGAATTTTCTGATGTTGACCACCCCTTTGATGCTGAAGGTAATGCATCTGTGGAAAGCAAGGACTGTAGATTTGGGTTACTGCTCTCTGCATCTTCCAGTTTTTCAGTGTTGTCCTCCCAATTAATGTGGAATCTTGTGACTCTGGGATTAGATGCCAAAATATTCCTTTGAAGCTGGGAAAGAAGAAAATATATGGATTGTAATGTGTACATCTAAAACTGGAGTTCACATGCATATAGATTTTTTTCCTTTTAGTCCCTATAGCCTTGTTTGCATAACAATTTGTTTAAAAAGGGAATTCACATCAATGTGAATCTATAGCTACTACCTATGGATCAGAAATGTGCTGACAGTACACCACTTATTTTCCCTAATATTCTCCTCAGCAAAATAACAAATTTCTCAAGAGCGTTTTAACTGTTCCGCAAGGTCAAGGCTGTGAAAGAGATCCACAAGTAAAGTGCAAGTGTTTGTTATTTTATCCAGCTTTTAGTAAAGCAAATAACTTCTACCCCCACAAGGATTTTGCAAACCACAGTACTTCATCAAATTTTGCACCAACTTTATGGTATTTGCAATACCTATCAATTCCATCAACTTCTCATCTTCATTTAAAAGTACAACCTTATCCTTAAACTACCAAACTTTAGACTGATTTCACTAAGAGGATTTATCGACTAAAGTTTTAAAATAAAAACATTTATATTTGGAAAATACTAACACTGTGGCAGTGGACATGATTAGTCATTTATCTTAGTCTCATGGCTGGCCTTCATTTCCTTTTGAAAACATGTTGCATTTGTTTATGTATCCAGAAAAAAAAAAAAAGAAAAAGCTGATTTTCTCCTTATTTTGAAAAGGGGTGAAAGATTATATATTCTTACCTGGAGGATGGCAACTTAGAGCTAGTGGAGACTCACTATGATATTTCAGACTGATCACAGGAAAGGTTTGCTTTGTCAATATTACTCTCCAAGAAAGTGTACTCTCATTAAGTATTTCATGACCCCTTATGCAAACTAAAAAGACTATTTCTTTTTTAGAACCTAGTAGAGCTTATTACCCAATAATTAATCAATCACTTTAATAACCCTCTACTTGTGCATTTCCATTTTTTCCCCAAGTCACATTAAGTCACATTTTTTCCCCAAGTCACATATACAAACATATGATCGCTTTTGCTGTTTTCTTGCATAGCAGCAAAGCTAGCTTTTTATGTAAACAGAGAAGGAAGATAAGTAGTTCTAAGCATTCTAAATTCAAGTGCTTAAAGAGAGTCACCATTTTGGTATTGGCAACCAACGTAACAAATAAATTACGTTTTAATTGAAAGAAATAAAGAAGAAAGGAACATACCCAAAGTTTAACAATCCTCAAACTTTACTGTAATTTTCAGTAGTTTTTTTTAGTATATGATCACTGAAAAAGTTAATCATAGAAAAACATACTATTTCATTTCATCTTTTAATTCTAGTCCTGGTTTAATTATTACCATGAAGGACATACATTTTTCTAACTTTATCTGTATACTTCCTTTGTCAAATTAGACATTTGTCAGATAATCATCCAACCAGGCTACCCATGTTCTCTCATTTTACACCTAATTTGTTCCTCAGTTTATTTGTTAAAAGTTTTGCAGAAATTGTAGCTCTGACACTAGAACAGCTGAGTAACAGCTGTAGTAAATATCTACAACTTAGTTCCAGGTTGATGGCTTAGAAAAAACATTCTGTTTTTCTGAAGAACAGAGCCATTTTGTAAACAGTGGAGCAGGTAGGAATAAATCCAGTGGTTTATTTCACAGTCAGTGTGAAAGTACAGCCAAGTCATCAGGATGGTGGAAATTTTTGATGGTTTCTCAATATTACATAAATTTATGACAACTACATGGCATTCGCAGTCTGTTCCCCCAAGTATTTTCCATTATTTCATGCCTCATTCCATGCACTTAACGAAACCACTTGGGGCTTGGGTTTGTTTCTTAAAAACCTTTTTCTATAAGCATACCTCTGATAGATGACCAAAACAAAACATGCCTTACCTTAGAAAAATCTGGCTTGACTGGTGGATTCTCTCTCAGTTCTGTTTCAGTATATTCATTGTTTACATAGTAGCCGACTCTAATAAATTCTTGACCTCGGTACGTGCATGTAATTAGCACAACTGTTACACCTACTGCATCTGCATCTGGAATAAGCCCTGGGTTAGGTGCATCAGCCTAAATGTGAAAGGGAAAGATAAATTAAAATTGATAGCACATGCCTACCTAGCAGGGGAATCTCAAGTAAGTTTGTTTCAGCAGCTAAGTAGTGACTATATTTTAAACTGTTCAAGTTAACCAGAAAATATACTGCTTTCACAACATCAATCCCAGATTTAGAACATCATCCTCTACTGACAAAACTGGAATACAGTAAAATTGTTTGCTGACATTTCTCATGGGCAATTGGCCAGGTTTGACCCAAAACTCCTTTTAAATATATGCTCAGCTGAACCATTGCTCACACAGGGGTACCAACATCATTCCAGTTCTACAGTGCCACAGTTCTCCAGCCCATCTTGGTAATTTAGTAGACCAAGATTATTTTCTCATATACCTCAAGGTTGAATTGGTCTGTATGTGTGCTCATAACAAGACTATATCCTTAAAACTACAGACTGCAAATTATATTTCAGCATGAAAAGGGATGGGCTATGGTAAGGTTTGAGCTGTTCCACAGACTTCTAGGGAAGGAATTAAGTACTTTCTCTGGCTTCATTCCTAATACCTATGTTCATTAAAATTTATGCAGTTAACTGCATCATCTCTCCAAGACACCTGAACATTCTCTACCAGTATGCAAACCTAATTAATATGCAACTGATACAATCTTTCTCAGTGTCCTTACTTACCATGGCTCTGCAGTTACTTATCAATAAAATTTGCCTCATAAAATGTGGCTCACATCAGTCCCTGAAAATGCCTTCTAACTACCACATCTATTGATAAAATGTGATGCCTGATTCTGCTGCAGGATTTAAAGTAACAGCAATCCAGGCATAGTAAAACAGCTTCATATTTACAATTCCACAGGAAGATCTGAAGTCAACAGTGAACACCCATGTTGTGAGAACAAGCTGGTATTAGTAATGTGTGTTCAGATGGTTTGGGTGTAACAAATCTTGCCTAATAACACAGGATGAGTGGAATTAATTCCTGTTGTCCCTCTTGTTCCTACTTTTCTGTAGTATTTCTATACTTCAGCATGGTGAAATTTGGGAGCTGCTGCTCATGCAGCATTGGCATCTACTCTTTGCCACTTCAATTCTAAGCCTTCAAACCAGCCTAGTTTTTTGTGAGAAGCTATAGGCACAGAAGAATTAGATGAGTCAGACCTCTCAGGTAGAAATACACCCAAGGGAGGAGAAGAAACCAGGGAATCAGGTAGAACACCTCTTCCTCCAGCCCTGAAGGAAATAGAAAATGACTGGATGGCTTACAACTAGCATAGGAGAATGGAAGAGGTGTCCAAGAAACAGAAAAAATAAAGAAGCTTGAGGAAATCACAAGAACTGCCAATGCAGATTAAATCATTACTTTAACTCAGTAGTCTTGTTCTAACAGTGCCCAGAACTATCTGATCACTGTAAATTCCACAGTAATGGGCAACAGAAGAACCATATTCTGTTTAACTCCCCATTAAACTCAACTCACATTCTAATGTAGAATCTTAGTCTTCCATGTTCCCACTGTCATTTTCTGTCTTGTAATACCCTATGACACAGTTCTGAACCCAAGGAAATACTCTGTTCTAATCCTACTTATCTCTCAAGCATTGTTTTGCTGCATGAAAAAGACACTGAATACTGTTTAAAACAGTTTTCTCAAATTTTCAACTTCCTGGTTTTGTCAAACCTGTTAATTACTCAGGAACCAAAGATCAGACACAGATGGCAGAAAAAAGAAGAGCTTGGTATGACCAAATGATAAATAAGCAGATTACTGGCAAACAGGTATTTCGGTGGGCAGAGGCATTAGATTAATTTTTGCACAAAAATCACTGTCTTAATATGCCACTTATTCTATGAATTACTTAAGAAATTTATGAAATCAGCCCGTATGTTGCCTTGAATTATCTTGCTTTTCCACATGGTATTTATTCTCATAGCTACTGCTGCAGAGTAGGTAGCAAAGGTTATATGCCCACTTAAGGACAGTAAATTATTTATGCGCTTATATGCTCAAAAAAGTTTCTGTGATTTTATTACAAATTCCCAAGAGAATCAAGAAGGAATCAGGTTTCACTATGTATATCTTGGGATTTAGAAACAAACAGGCCAAGCTGTGGGCCTTTACTATTGAAACCCTTATAAAGGTAACATTTTGGGGTTTAAAAACAAAAAGCTGCTTTTGTAAGTCTGAAAAGCACAATAATTGTCCATCTTTCTATAAGGCTGAATTCCCAACCTGTTTCACATCTTTTTTTCATCTAAGGTATTTTTATCATCCTTGGTAATCTATCTGTGTGGTACTCCATTTTAGTTGCTATTTCAGCCATTTTCCTATCTACAAAAATCTACAACAGATTATCAGAAAATTTTATGCTCCTCTGCAAAGGTTCTTTCCTTATGCTATTCCCCATCAACACAATCTCTTTTCTTTGTGCCACATACCTCCTGCAGTTCTGTACTTTGCCCTATTCTTGCCTTTCCTTGCTTGTTTTCTCTGTATCCCAGGCTGCTTCAGCTTAGTGAATAAAATGGCTTCAGCCATCAGCAAAGGCTTCTTGCAGCACTTTGGGTTTTGGTGGTTTCCTGTGTACACATGTGCTGAGTCCTACCCTCACCTGAAATCCAGAGCCTTTGAAGCGTAATATACTCAGACTCAACTGAACTTCCATAAGAAATAAAAAGTATATTTTAACAGATGGAATCCCTTACAGGACCTACTCCAATCTAAGCAAAATCTCTACACATCTCCTCGTTTAGCTGCAGTGTAATTTATAACCACGATACAATTGCTGAGTCCATTCTACAGAAACTGCAAGACTAGTAAATTTAATTTGAGACCTGCCTAATCATGCAGCCAAAACGTGCCATTTTAGGCACCTGCTTCTTGCTCCTTCCCATCACCATCAACAAGGAGTCTTCAGACCTTTGATTGAGAACAGTGAATCTTCAAATTAAAAATGTAAATGCCAGCTGATATTCCACCATACAAAAACAAGGTAGCCCCTCTGAAACCAATAGAGGATCACCTGTTTCTGACCAATTAATGACATAAGCTATAATGGCTTGATAATGGAAAAACTGTTAATAAATGATGCATTTGTTACACATCTCCTTTATTTGTAGAGTGGAAAAATTAGGCCTGGCTCCAAAACCAAACAGAAATGTTTCAACACTGATTAGGGTGTATGTGGTTGATAAATGCTGCAACCTCCAGTCTAATCCTATTCCTTAAGCCTGTTCTTTAAGGAAAAAAACAAAAGGCCCAGAACAAAAAAACACCCTCAAAATGCCAAATAAACTACCTTTCCTGGAATTTACAGAATAAATCAGGATTGCCTCACAAATGTTGATATTATTTTAAACCAGTTACAGTAACCATAAGAAATAAGGGAGTCAGCACTTCATTAGCACTTTGGGGTTCTTCAATGCTCACACTTCAGCATGCATTTGCCATTAGTTAAGTGAATTTATAGTATTTGGGAAAATAGCAGAGCTCTTATACAATAAGACATACTCAGTTTCTATCCGACTTGTTATCCAATGGACTTTGCTGTCAGTTTACAAAAAAAAATTCTAGTATTTTATAGAGAAAATGTGTTAGTTTTAATAAAAACTATAGTTTTGAATAAATAAACAAAAAAAAAAAAAAAACCACTCCACCACCACAAAAGAAGTTATCCCAAACAAAAGAAAGCTTCTGTAAGAATTCAGGCAAGTCCACTTCAGGTTTTCCCCCCTGCTTCTCACTGAGTTAAAATAGAAACAAGTCTAGGCCAGTAAGTCATCTTAGTGTTGCTCTTTCCCTGTTTTCTTTTCCTTTGTTATTCCTTATTAACTTTTGGCATTAACAGCAGTATTTTATAGGACTGTCACATGTTCTAGACTTTTTGTCTTGGCCTACACACTTGTGTCCTAAATACCTCCCATTTACCACTGAATTTCTATCTTTATTTTAGAAATCACTGTATTTTGTTATTATTTAGCATGCTTGGCCAAACATCATAGTTGATCATGTTCTGCCAAACAGAAACAAACATCTTGATTATTCTGGCTGAGTTTTACAATTAGTTTGTTGGCCTGATCCTCTGAAGGTGTTGTCTACATTAACCTAGTGCTCCTGATTGTCTGAAACTGCCACCAGCAGAAGAGGTGAGCCTGATGGTGCTGGTGTAAACCAAGCAATTGGCACTACTGATTATGAACCAGACTGGTTAAAATTATCAGCAGCTATGGGAACTGTGCTTTTATCAGTTATTATTGATACCACAAATAAAAAATATAACCAAGAAATATCAGGGGCAAGAAGTACAGGCTCAAGAACAGACTTTAAAGGAAGGTATATCATACCTGAGGGGCTCATTTCAATGTTTTTTTACCATTATTTTTCAAGTGCCTCTTAGTTTGATACAGTTATCCCTAATCAAATTAACACAACTTTTAGAAAAGGTTAAATCAAACTTACCTGAAATACAAACATGTGTCTGCCTGCAGGAACAGGTCCAACTAAAACAGAGTCTAACACCTGATCATACTCTTCACTTTCAGCTGAACCCACATAAATTATTTTCCATTCCAAATCTACATTAAAAAAAAAGAAAAAAAAAAAAAACAAAACAAAACAAACAAGCATTATTTATCATCACAGTTAGGGGGTCTTCCACTCTTGCCAATCTACAGTTTTGCATAGCCTAAAATTACTTCTTTGGCAACAAGCCTAAAATAACAAGGACCTACCTGTCTTCATCAGAAAAATTTAAGGATGCCTGACCCTGTGCTCACAAACCAGATCATCCCACTTTCTCTCTCTAGTCAGTTGTATCACAGGAATCCCTCTATTTTCACAGTGAGGTTAATTTTCAAAATTTATACAGAAAGCAGGGCCCTTTTTCTAATTGGGAGCTGTGTTGAGCATCTTCTCAAAGTCTGTCAGAATGGCTGCAGCAGAGGGATGATGCCTATAAATCATTACATCCTTGAATACAGACTAACCTCCCAAAACCAAAATTCCCACCTTGCACACATACACCTCACAGCTTAAATTACACAAATCATGGAACGTAGTTGAGTAAGTCACCTACTGAGTAAGCTTCAGGCATACTAACTGTATGCCCCCGTTCCTTTATATGTCACTTGTGATACCTGGGAAGTACATAAAATTGTGACAGCATGACTAGACCGTATTCTTAAAGATAGTGATGCTTGGATCTTATCTACACCCTGAAATGGAATTATAGACCAATAAAAAGGAAAAAAAAAAAGTCAGTGTAGAATTTTGCTTCTTAAAGCCATGCACTAAACCCCAACATTTATTACAATTAAGTGTTTTCTAACTCAGTCTCTTCCCCACAGATGTTTTAGTTGAAACTGCAAATGAACCCAAATTAGCTCTTCCTGGGTCAGCTTTTCACCTTCCCTTTTTGATTCAAAAAACAGTAAAACTAATCTTGCAAGACAGATTTTGGGGTTATTAAAACAAGAGGGGAAAAAAAGAGACCACCATTACAAAAATCTATAACTAACACTTCTTAATTAAGCTGTCGTTTCAGAACTGTACCTTAAAACTTACATGGTGTATTTCTTTTTTCCCCCTTGTGAACAGTGCCCTGATGGCCTTTGCAAAAGCACAAACCTGTAAGCTATTACATTAACTTGATTAGTACACTTGCAAATCCAAAGGCCTGCCTCATGGTTTCTGGATGCAGGAATGGAATTTAAGCAGAGAAAAAAAAAATAGCACTTGAAACAGAACTTGACTGCTTTAAGATTGCAACCCTCTTTCCTCATTAGTGAATTCTTCTTGCTTACTTTTTTTACCATTAGTGCAGGTTTTACTATCATAATAAACAGGGCTTGGGAAGGGATTTTACTCCTCTGTACAACACAGCAGCTTCCTAGGTACTGTATCAGAGGTTTTATTTACCTTTTAAGCATGAAGTACTAGCTGTTGCCAGTATTGCAGGGTACTCATCCAGGATAATTAAGGAACTTTCTTGTCTGCATCTGAAGACAAATTAGTACTTACAAGAAGTGAGGACTTTTAGGCTAAACTGCTTAAGACTTTAAGACTATCACACCATCCTGTGCCATTATTCTAGGAGAACAGTATAAAACTTGTTCTAAACAACTCATAGTATTTAGTACTAAACCTAGACTTTTAAAAAATAAATTTTAAGTGTTATTTGAGTATGTTGATATAGAACATCCACTTTAAGAAAGAGGGCTGGAGTTTATGGATTTAATTTTAGGATCAGTGTTGCAGAGCACGGGCTGAAAACAGCACAGTAAACACATGTATTACATAGGAAAGCTGAGGCAATGACTTTTTATCAAGTATTCAACGGCTGTGTTTCATCTTATTTTTAAATGTGAAAGATAGCAGTGCTCATCCTTAATTTATCCTGTAGTCTTAACTTGCATGTTGGTGGGGGAAAGGAGCTGAGAATTCTGTATTAGACCTTCTATAATTCTTCTCATCACGAATGTCCAGGATCAACTTTAACATAAATCCTGAGTGTGAGGAGCACATCACATACAGCTGTGCTATGGAAATGAAAAGCTTAACGTATTGCACGAGCCCCTGTCACGGGCACTGCCACCTGCCATAGCAGTTGCCACGGAGGGGGTCCGATGTTCCCGCTCGGATGGGGCAGGCTGACCGAAGAGGTCCAGCCAGCAACGTGGCGGGGCATGGAGCACAGCTCCAGCTGCTGCGTCGGTCAGTTGCAAGAAGGCAGGAGACGGGCTGCGGAGGCCTAGAGGAAACCCTGGCTCGGGCGAGACTTCCTCTGAAGTTCCCGCCACGGCAGCCGTCCGTCCCTCCCTCCCCGCGCTGTCACCATCCCGCCGGCACGCACGAGTACGCGCTGCTGCAGAGGCAGGCGGGGTGAGGCGACTTAAACCGCAGCGACAGCGAGCCCGCCAGGGCACCTGAGCCAGGACAGCACGCAACTCCCCTTCTCCTCAGCCCTGCCCTCGTCCCTCCGCCCGCGGAGCTCTCTGGCGAGCGGGCGGCGCTGGGCTCCGCCGAGTGCCGGCCAGGCAGTGTCCTCTCCCGCTCACAGGCAGCCCATCGGGGCGGCCTCCTCCTGCTCCCGGGGCAGCAGCCGCTCCCCGGCCCGCCGGCGGGCGCCCGCGCCCCGCGTTCCCTCCCTCGCCCCGAGCCGTTCGAAACTCCCGCCCGCGGGGCGACGCGCGGCCTCTCGGGGCGCGTCCCGCGGCCGCCCGGGGGGCGGCGCTGCGGAGCGCGGCCGGGGCGAGGGCGGCTCGCGGCCCGCCCGACTCGGGGGGAAGGCGGGAGCGCGGCGGCGGCCCCGGCTCAGGACGGGGGTCCCCGTGTGGCGGCAAGGCCGGGGCCATCCCCCACCCGCTGGCGGCTGCCGGTAACTTTCGAGTGACTTCCAAAAATAGTGGCAGGCGGGCGGCCCCCTCCCCCCAGGCGGGGGCTCCCGCAGCCAGCGCTCCCCTCCTAGCCGTGCCCCCGACCCCGCGCACCTTCCGCGGCTGCCTGCTGCCGGCATGCGGGGCCAGCCAGTCAGCCCGCCCCTGCCTCCCACCGTGATTTTTAATTTTTTAATTTTTTTTTTTTTTTTAGTATTAAAATGGAGCACGAGGCCATTGAAACGCATCCCCGCGGAGCGCTTTCCGCGCTCCGAGTACCGCCGGGGCTAAACACGCAGCATCCCGTGTGCCCGCGGGGATGCGCGGCCGCCGAGCCCGGTTCAACCCTCCTGTCTCCCGCTCGCTCCCCCCACGCACACACAAAGCTGGCAACATGGCTACCTCCACTCTAACAAGTTCCTCGCAACTTGAGGCAGCTCGCCGCCTCGCCGATGGCGGGGAGAGGCGGCGGGCCCGGCTCGGCGCCCAGAGCGGGCGGACACCGCCAACTTTCCCCGGCGCCGGGCTCGGCGGGAGCGGCACATCCCCTCGCCCGGCCGGCACATCCCCTCGGCTCGGCACGGCGATGCGGCCGAGGTGGAAAGACTGTTAAATTGTAGGCGCAGGCCTGTGCAAAGTTTAAGCCTTAAATGCCCCGAGCTCAGAGCCCGGGGTTGCAAAATCCGTATCGGGGAGAAAAATTCTACTCACCTTCAGACAGGTCCTCTATGCACTCGAATGTGATTTCGAACTGGAAAGGATTGTAGAAAGGAGAAGGATTATCCAACACCACTACATTGTTCACCTGAACCTTTGCCATATTTTGGAAAAAAACACAAACAATAGGCAGAGCGTGTTAACGCCGCGCACTAAAGTCCTCCGTGCCGGGCTCCCGCACCGCACAAGCCCCCGCGCCGCTGCCCGAGCGAGGCTGCAGGGCGGCGACTTCCACAAACTTTTTTTTTTTTTTTTTTTTTTTCGCCCCCCCTTTTATTTACACCGGGAACGCTCCACACTGTTCGCCGCTTTCCCTATTTCGCTCAACTACAGCCCATTCTGCCCCTGCTCGCCGCCAGCGCCCGCCCGGATTGGCCACTCGCCGGGCGAGGGCCCTCCCTCCGCGGGCACGGCGGGCACCGAGCGCCGGCCAGAGCGGCCTCCGCGCGCGCCCGCCGCGCGCCGCCCTCGGGGCCGGGGGCGGGGCCAGGGCGGGAGATGATCCGGGCGAGCTTGAGGGAGGCGCGGAACATCTGCTTCTCTGATTTCCAGGAAAGGGAATGAGAGCTTATCTCTTTTCTTCTTATTTTAGTTTTTTTTTTTCCTTATTATTTGTTTTCCTTTCTTCTGTGTGCATTAAAATGCAGGCAAGGGGAAAAATCAGGAGGAAAGATCTTATCACGCAATTAGTCGGCTCTCGATTCATCACCAAGAGGGACTCTGCCTTAGTTCGAAAGCTGTTGCCTTGCAATGATTTTATTTAAAAGGAAAAAATTAAATCCTAAGATGCGACTTTATTTGAATTGCTGGCATATAGCTTATGGGACTGTGTATATCGTGCTTACCACAATAACTTTTATTTCAATTGATAAGGTTTAGATTCATATATAGAAGATACATCGTTTGTCAGTATATTGTATTTAAAGTTATGAACCCTATGAGCTGAAGAAGAAATTAATTTCCTTTGAAAATGTTCATCCTCTGCAAGTTGTAAACAATGTAAGACCGCATCCAGCTTGGAAAGTGCCCTAAGCTGAAAGTTGAGGCTGGAAGAATAGTAGGGCAAAATACCATAACTAAATTGGAACCATGGGTAGAACAGGGACAAAAATAATCTCTTGTCCATTCAATTTAAACAAAACATTAAAGAAGCACTGTATCTCAACAAAACAAAAAACTGCTTGCAACTAGACCTCATTTTAAAGTTTTATTTAACCTTATTTATAAAAGGGAAGATTCAGAAGCGTTTAAAAGAATCCTAAGTGGTTTTTTTTTTTAATATGCTAAGATTGTGCAGTATTGTATAAACAGCAACTGTTAATGCTGGCTGCTTGGGAAGAGTGAAAAACTACTCTCAGGCCAGCACTCATGATGAAATTGTTCCCAACACCTCCCAGAACAAGCACTTTTGCTGTCAGAATGCACAAAACGAGTCTAATCAAGTAGGAAGGTGCATTAAGCTTTCAGCATCCCCTAACAAGAATGAAAGCAGTGATTCACAGGCTAAACCACCTTGCCTGCGGGTCTCCATCAGGTGCGGAGGGGCACTTTCAGTTTGGGGCCATTTCAGCCCTTTGGGTTTTTGTTACGCTTTGTTTGGTGGATTTTTATCTTCCTGTTTCTGTGCTGATTGTGCTGGGTGCTGGTGGGGTCCGGGTGCCAGGAGCCCCCCCAGCTCAGGGCACTGGGCCTGGGCAGTGGTGCCAGGCTCTGAGCCCAAGCCTGCAGCCACGGCAGTGACCTCTTGGCCACTGGCAAGGGATATCCGTGCTGGGATTCGGTACCTTGCTGGCTGGGGAGCCCCTGAGCACAGCCGGCTTTGCTGGTGGGCGCTGGGTGCCCCGGATGGGACGGGCTGCCTGCACCGCCCTGAGGGCTGCTGCTGGAGAGGCCACCCGAGAGGGGCTGTGCCGGGAACCAAGCGTGCCTGTCACACGGCCCTGCTGTCAGGAAACCATCCCCTTCCTCTATTTGTAGAATGCTTGGGTGCCCTGAAGTGCTACGAGACAGGACATTTTGCCTGTGCAGCAGCATTGCCGGTGAGAGGGCCCTGTGTGCAGCAGGGGAGGCCATCTTGTGTGGCGGCAGGAGCCTGCAGCAGAGGCCATCTCATGGCTGCCATGCACACGGGACAGCGAGGAGCAGAGTGACACTGCACTGCCAGTGACGGCCCTCACGGCTCAGGGCGAGAGCAGAAAGTGCCCATGGCTCCAGGGGTGCAAGTTGTGTACCCCCACCACAGGATATTCAGAAATAAATGCGTGGCCAGGCTGTCGTACTGCCTAGTACTCTGTGTTTCTGTAATTCTGCTGTGTGATTGATTGCCCAGGGCACTCGGCATACAGTCCAGGAAAACCAAGAAAGACTGGACATGGTGGAGCTGATTCCTTATTACAAGTCGAAGTACATATTATGTTATCAGGAAGCATTTAGTTCCAGTAACTTTTTGCTGGTCATTTGCAAACAAATAAGTACTGTGGTGGGCTGCACAGTGATGAGAAGGTCTTTGCAGCCTTGAGCCAAATGGTGAGGCAGGGGGGATTCTTGTGCAGGCTTTGCCATAGAATTCCAGGAGATTTGAGGCTGGTTGCAGCTTGTAAACTACGAGGATATTCTGAGCTGAACACTGGAATGGAAAAGAAGGGCTAAAAATAAAGAAGCAGGGAAATAGGGAATAGGATTGGAGGGAGCTGCACATACTTGCTAATGAGTGGTCGTTTCCACCGTTATGCAGGAGTTTTGCCTGGCTATCCACCCAGTATTGTATCATATGTAGATTTAGTGAAAAACTTTTTTTTTTTTTTTTTTTTTTAAATTTCTTCCTTTTATTTCACCCTTGGTCATCTTTGGATTTTCATTTTTGCTTAATGCGTAGAGGAAACCAAAAACTCATAAAGAAATTTAATTTCCTTAGTTTAAGGGAAGAATTTGACTTTCTGGGGCCATGAGCTAAATGACAATTTAATTTTATTTTTTTTTCCCAAGCTTTGATTTGCAGCTCCAAAATTTCTGTCCATTTTAGGAGTTGATGTGGAGTCCTGAATGGGTCTGTTCCATAATTTTGCAATCTTTGCCTTTGCCCCAATTTTCAGTATGATCTGCCAGATCTAGTCTTAATACACTAATCCCTTTTGTTCATTTAACAAAGTTCTAAGACAAGTCACAGTCCAAGCACGGGAAGCTTAACAGAATCTGCTCCACAGCTCCAGGCTAGTCTACCCCAACACTAGTGGGATTGCTTGCTGGTAGCTGTGAAGTGAGTTATGTGGTAGAAGTACATGATGGAGCTTTCCTGCTGGTTTGCCCTCTGTCCATGGCTCAAGCCGCTGTGCTGGGTCCCTTTCTTTCCCTCGAGTTTACTCCCGCATTTTAGGGAAGAGACTGACTGAAGTATTTGATTCTTCAGGTTTGACAGTGACTGCTGTGAAGGAATTTGGGGAGTGGAATTTGGAAGCTGGAGCACTGGTGCTTGCAGATGGAGGCCTCTGTTGCATTGATGAGTTCAATAGTATCAAGGAACATGACAGAACCAGTATCCACGAGGCAATGGAGCAACAAACCATCAGTGTTGCAAAGGCAGGGTAAGTGGCATGTTAGCACATGTGAGAAAACAACATGAGATTTTTCTCTTGTACTTACATGTTGGAGGGATGCTGATTAAATATATCTGTTTTCTTCACTGTATGCAACAGTTTTGTTGTCATCAATACTCCTAAACTATACGAGTCAGCATTTCAAAGGACAGTGCACTGGACCAGAGGCTGCAAGCAATCAGAATAAATACATACCCTCTTCACTGCTGGGTTTTTAATCTACTGCTATAGGCTAGGGCACTTTTCTGCTTGGCATCCTTTTTCTTGCCCTTTGCTGCAAGTGGCTGTAATAATCCTATGTGAAATGAGACGTTTTGTGACTTTTTTTGTTGCAACTCAGAGAGTGGAGCTTCATTTTTCCAAAACCACAAAATCACAGAGTCATTAAGTTTGGAAAATACCTCAAAGATCATCAAGCCCAGCCTATGACTGATCACCACCCTGTCAACTAGACCATGGCACTAAGTGCCATGTCTGGTCAATTCTTGAACACCTTCAGGGATGGTGACTCCACCACCTCCCTGGGCAGTCACTTTTTCAGTGAAGAAATTCTTCCTGATGTCCAGCCTGGACCTCTCTTGGCACAGCTTGAGGCTATGTCCTCCTGTCCTGTAAAATCCAGTAATATTGCTTAGTAACCAAAGTACATCAGGAGGTTTCGAGGCTGCTTTATTTTCCAAGAGATTTGCAGGCTGCTGAATTTTATATGTTGGGTGTGGCATAAATATAAACTCCTGCTTACTTTAAATTCCTCCCTTTCTTTTTTCAAAGTTGTGTGTGTTCAAATCTATCCCCCCACTACCCCTGCCCACCACTTGGATTTTTGAGCTCATATTTCAATTTGTCAGTGATATGCAGCTCTTATTCAGGCCCAAATTATTTCCTGGCTGGTATTTCTGAAATCTCTGCTACTCAAAAGGCACCACCCTTTCCACATTCCTTCTTGTCACCTTCCACTCAGCTCTTGCTCCAGTTGCATCTTGACTTCTCTAAGTGATCATATCCTTCCCTTATTCTGAGCATCTCCATCCTCTTCATCAGACAGCAGACAAATAATCACGGAATATTCTGAGTTGAAAGGAACTCACAAGGATCATCAAATCCAATTCTTAAGTGAATGGCCTGTGTGGGGATTAAACCCACAACTTTGGTGTTTTTAGCACCATGCTCTTACAACTGAGCTAATCTCAGGGTCATGTTGCCCTGACCTGGGTAATTACCAGCCTTTGCCAGCTGGGCACAAATACTTGGGATCAATATGGTCCTGTCTCCTTAGTAAGGCAGGGACATATTTCAGCTGAGTTCCTTGTTGCAGTTGTTTGGATTTGATAGACTCAAACACAGTTTGCTAACTTTCACATAGATGCCCACTTTTAAAGACTACATATAATGAGGATTTTTTGAATAGTAACTTAGCACACATAGCTTCAGCACCTTGTTAATTTAGGTCTTATTTTGGTGCATGGGAGAATAAGTTGGTTTTTTTTCCTGCTGGGTATAAGCTAGTGGAAGATCTGTGGTCCTTCCTCTCAGTTACAGAAGAACTTTGGATGTGAGGCAGCAGTTACTCGGGAGCTGACTAGAAATAGCTCACTGACAAACCAAAGTTAGAATGCTTCTGCTGCTGCCTTATCCAAAAGGAGTGCATTTGGACTACTAGAGCAAAAATAATCTCTCACCACATCTACAAGCACATGCTAGGACATAATGGTTAAGAGTAGAAAATGGCTGTTTCAGTTGGTATGGCTGCCATCACTGCTAACTTGCGTTCATATTCTTATTTATACACAGGAATAAAACATACATTCATGTCACATTTTATTTTGCTCTCTTA